TTGTTGTTGTACCCTAGCCAGACAGCCTCAGCTTTAATCTTCTCAAGTGGTGTGTGAGCTCAGACCCATCAGTCAGCCCCTCTCAGCCGCCACTTATTATAATAGATTGATTGAAATCAATGTCTGTGTTTAATAACCGCAAGAACGCCAGTGCTGCATACAACAGGCACGCAACCCTGGCCTCTTCTGGGACCTCAGTGCAGCAAATGGCTGCTGCCTTTTACCCAGAACAACAGTCACTGCACTCAACAGCAATCATTTGTGAAGCATTTTTCAGTTATTTAGCTTGACAGTGTGCTATAAAATTGTTTGTATGTCTGTGTGTGTGTGTTTCTCCCTCCCTTTCTGCTGGGGTGTGTTTGCCGCTCTCTCCCCTCTCTCTAAGTGTTTCTTTCTCTGTCCCTCTCTGCCTCTGTATGTGGTGTCTCTCTCTCTCTGTCTGTTTGTGTTTGCATGTCTCTCTTCCTCTGTGTGGTTGTGTCTCTTTCTGTTTCTCGTTTCTGTGTGTGTTTGTGTGTGTCTGTGTCTCTCTCTGTACATGTGTCTGTCTTTCTGTGTGTGTGAGTCTCTCTCTGTGTTTGTGTACTTCTCTGTGTGTGTGTGTCTCCTCGCCCTGTGTATATTGATCAGAGCTGGTAGCTGGTAATAGTTTGTTTACGAAGGCCAATTCTGCGGCATGAATCTAGCCCGAGGGAAGTTTCAGACCGCACTGTGTTTCCTGCTCTTTCCTATCACTGGGTTTCAATCGTCTGTTTTATTTAGGAAAATATTTACAGATCACAAGGCATGTTTGGATTTGATCTTTTTCTTTGGAAATCCTCACCCTACTGTCTCCCCATCATATTGTGGGCATTTTGCCCATAAATTATACAATCAATTGACTTTACAGTATATTCTGTGAAGCGCTTTGAAATGTCTCGAAGACGTGATAAGGCGCTATATCAAATGCAAGGATTATTATTATTATATCATTCACATCTTTCCTAATTTAAAGGCAGTGCTTGGCCTCGGCCACCCTTCCTGGAAACCCTGTCTCTCTCTGAGTGTGCGTGTGTGTCTCTTTCTCAGTCTCTCTCTCTTTCTGTTTGTGTGTCTCTCGGTTGCTCTCTGGGTCTCTCTCTCTCTGCCTCTTTCTCTCTGTGTAACGAATTCCTTCCTGGTGGTGTCTGTTCTGTACTTGCCCCTCGCCCCCCTGACCCCGTGCCCCCCTGCCCTGCTGTCTCAGGGTATCTGGCCAGTCTGTGTGTTCAGTTCCTGTTATGAGCTGCCCCACTCCTGTTGGGAGTCCAGTGGCTTCCCGGTGGGGGTGGGGAGGTGAAGCTGGTAAAGAGAGGCTTAACCCCAGGCTGAGGCTGAGGCCTGGGTACAGTCTCGGCGTAACAGCCATTTTGCCCCGGGGAATTGTGGCAAAGGCGATAGGAGGAGCGTGGATACAAAGAGGGTGAATTGTCGTTTCTACATCTCAATAATTAATACACAATGGAAATGCTTTAGTGGGTCAGGGAAGATCCTATCACCACTTGGAGCGGCTCCAGCGCTGTGTGCGTATGTGTGTGTGTGTGTGCGCACTGCCTGTGTCTGCAATCCCTGTGTGAGGGAGACACTCACTAGCTGTAGTGATTCCCAGCTCAGGCTTCCTATATTGTGGAGTTCCGGATGAGTGATGTTGTCCAGCGCCCTGTGTAAACAATGAAGGTGAAAAAGCCAACATAGTGTCTGAAATTTCTTATGTCAATTGTCGTGTCACCAGAATTTGTGATCTAAACCTTTCTTTAATTGTCGGCAGGTAGTTGTAACCAAGTTACAAATAAGAATAAGATGTCCCAAAGCCCTTCACAGGATTTACTGTAGTGACTGAATTTTGTGGGCAAATGGGGGTAGCCAGTTTGTGCACAGCAATGTTCCAGAAACAGCCATGTGGTGAATGATAAATTTTATCTAGGGGATTGTTGGCCAGGACACTGGGAGAGAGAAACTCCCATCTCGTTCCCGATAACGCCATGGAATCTTTAACGCCCAACTACCCAAGCACAGACAGGACCTTGCTTTAAAGTCGTATCTGAAAGATAGCAGCTCTGACAATGCAGCACTCTTCTCCCCCCCAAACTCCCACCCAGGACTGTGCTGGAGTGTCAGCCTGGAGTAGGTAGAATGGTCTAGGGACTAAGACCATTAGGAATTCAGGTCCTCAGAATACGCACATCCAGTGGGCGACTCGGTCAGGACTGGAAGCTTAATGTTCAGGAAATCGTTGACAAAATCTGGGGGATTAATAAAAAGAGGATTTTGGTCAATTAATTGTCCGTGTTAGTAAAAACCCTTATTACATCGCCAAACAACTCCAGAGACTAAAGTAATCTATTGCTGCTCAATGAACAACCCATGTTCCATTCAACCGGTAACCTTTGGAAACCTCTAAATCCAGTCTTAATTTGGAAACTGGTTTCTTTTCAAGAGCTCAATGGCATTAGGGCTGAAACCATGAGGATAGGATTGGGCTCAGCTGTGAGATGGAGCTGCGGAGAGGCACAAAGAGAGACTCACTGTCTAGCTCGCTACGTGCTATTATAATACTAATCCTTATATTTGATATAGTGCCTTTAACATTGGATGGCGTTTCAAAGTACTTCACAGGATTCCTGTAAAGTGCAGTGTTATAAAAGTATTTGTACGTGAACATGGCAACAACAACAACAAGATTCCATTTATAGAGGGCCTTTCACGTCGGGAGGACGTCCCAAAGTGCAGGAGTAAATGACCAAATTTATTTGGGGGATTGTCGGCCAGGACACCAGGGGGAGAGAGAAACTTGCTTCTCTTTTCAAGCAGTGTCATTGGATCTTTGACGTCCACATGAACCGGTAGGCAAAGCCTCTGTTAATCTCATCCAAAGGACATCACCTCCGAGAATTCAATGCTTCCCCAGCGCTGCACTGGAGAGTCAGGCTAGATGTATGAGTTTAAGGTCCTGCAGTGAGGCTTGTACCCGCAACTTTCTGCCTCAGAGGCGAGAGCGCTACTGACTGAGCCAGTCTGACCCCTGCTAGGTGGATGGATTGAAGAATTGCTGCTTTGGGGCAAGCAGACAGAAACCAACAGGCTTCAACACATCAGGAGAGGAGGAGAACAACCAAAGGAATTCAGCAATTGGAAGGAGTCGGGTCACGTGTACGTACTGTCAAGCTTTGAATTATTAATAGTTCAGTCTCCCCCTGGAACGCAAGCACTTAACCAGTAGAATTGGAGCCTCAAAGGCGTTTGCTTGTGTTTGATATGAAGCAAACGGCTTTTGTGGCTTTGAGCAGGAAGTTGTAATTCTTTCTCTCACCCCAATCTTTGAAAATAATAGAACCATGTTCTGTGCTGTTTACTGTGTATATCCCTTCAAGTCCCTTCACTCCCTGGCACCTCACTACCTCTCCAAACTCCTCACTCCCCAATCCACCACCAAGCGTCTGCGCTCGACTGTCACCAGCTTCTGCTTGTCCCTCGCACACTCCGCCCCCATTGGGGGTCTCGCTTTCAGCCACTACTTCCAGTAACTCTGGAACATTCTCCCTCAATCTCTCTGCCTTGCTCCCTCTCTCCCCCTTTTTCAAGTCGCGCCTGAATACCTTCAGTGCTTTAACCTCCCTCCACCCCCAGCTCGGAATCAGACTTCACCACTGTTGAGCGTTCTGAGATGCTATATAAGTGCAAGTTGCTTTTGTTGTGTTACTGTGTACTGCACAGCTGGTTAACACATCACCCAAAAGTGCGATGGGTTTGGTGGTGAATACCTTTCTCTTCCCCCCCACCCCCTCCCTGTCCTATCCATGACTTTGCAGGAATGGTTTGGCCCAAAGTTACTCTCTTTGTTGCTCACGCCTCTCAGCCGCTGTGGCTAAGTACCGACCAAGTTTAGTTGAGTTGAGCTTGACTGAGTCCAGCCTCCTATTTGTCCTTCGTCCCTCTGTTCCACCATCGGTGGCCGTGCTTTCAGCCACTAATGCCCCGAAACTCTGGAACTCTCTCCCTCAATCCCTCCGCCTATTCCCCTCCCTTCAAATCCCACCTGAAGACCTTCCTTTTTGATCGTGCTTACGGTCACCTCCTCCCTCCCTCTCTCCCCGGCTCGTTGTCAGACTCTGCCCCTTGTTGTAGTTTAGTGTTGCGGAGGGGCTGAAAGGTCTTGAATGTGAGCAGCGAATGATGCTAGTGACCAACAAAGATGGCGGTCATATCATTGTATCAAAGTTGGGGGGTGGGGCTCATGGGGGAGTGATGGGGTTCATCCCAAACCTCTTAAGTAAAGACTTGTTTTGAGTACATGACAATTAGCATGTCCCATAGTGAACGTTTTGCCCTGGAATTCCCGGTATCCTGTCCCAGTTCTCTCTCTGTTTGTCTCTCGACAGAGGCACAGCACAAATTGCTGAAAGCCAATTCATCCCAGAACTTTAATCTGACAATGGGTCGGTTTGTGTGTTTGCTCTGACACTGGCGATCAACCTCGCTGTGGTCCTGTGCAGATCAGTCGTGTGGGGGTGGGGGGATGGTGTTCTGGGGTATCTTTCAGGAAACATTGTCGCTCAGTGTTACTGATCTTTAAACTTTAAAAGAAGGTTCTGAATTCCAAGAATCAGTCTGTTTTTGGCAGGTTTGTCACTCGCTCTCTTTCACCCCTCTCTTTTTCTGTTTTTCTCTCTCTCTCTCATTCTGTTTTTCTCTCTCTCTCTCGTTCTGTTTCTCCCTGTCTCTGTCTCTTTCTGTCTGTCACCCTCTCTCTTCTTAGGCACCTTTCCAGCACCTAGGGACGTCCTCCTTGGGACATGAAAGGTGCTATACAAATGTAAGTAGTTGTTGTTGTTTGAAATCCCACTGCTATTTGGAGGATCGTAGACACAGTTTAGTAATGCTATCTGTCAGTGATGCAGTGATGTTGTCCCCCCTACACACCCCCCACTGACATGACCTCAGATAATGTGAAGTCAATGACTGTGTTTGCACGTGTCTTGCAGAGGGAGCTAAAAGAGCAGTTTGAAGGGCTGCAGGAGAGTGAGTGCGGACACAAGGAGGCACTGCACCTGCTGAGACGCCAGCTGTCAGAGACTAAGGTGCAGTACAATTAGAGCTCCACATTCTCTGGGGTGTTTCTGTTGGCTGTGGTGTCTGCTTGTTATGCTGTACTGCTATCCTGTGAATTCCCTCCACATAACAGCCCGACGACGGCTTTGGGACCAGAAGATTCAGTTCCAAAGCCTAGTGGAGGCTCCTCGTTCACCCTTTGGTTGGTTTATGGTGAGCGGAGTTGGATGTTGTGTTGAGTTGGATCAGGTTGGATGTTGGGGGTTGGGGTTAGATTTGGGTGTTGGGTTGCGGCGATCGATACAGTCTCCATGAACTGGTAGCTCCCCTTTAATGCAAGGCAGTGCTGATGGTTGAGCAGCCTGGCTTGCCTATAGACCAGGATTGTCCAATACAGGATTGAGGTTAATCCCTTGCCCTCTGGTCTCCCTAGTCCTCCGCCAAGAGCCTGCGGGCTACCATAGCTGAGGCCTTTGAACGTCTGCACCGCTTCCTGAAGGAGAAGCAGAAGAGCATGCTGGAGGAGCTTGAGGCTGACACCGCCCGCACACTCAACGACATTGAGCAGAAGATCCAGCGTTACAGCCAGCAGCTGCGGCAGGTCCAGGAAGGCACGCAGATCCTGCAGGAGAAACTGAAGGAGACGGACAAGCTCCTCTTCCTGGAGGGAATCAACACCACTATCGAGAGGTAGCGACCAAACTCCCAATCCAGTCACTGATCCTTCTTTTTCTCTCTCTCTCTCTTGCTCACTTTCTTTCACACTTTCTCACCCTCTTTCTCACAAGACCCATCTCAAGACCTTCCTGTTCGACCGTGCCTTTGATCACCCTCCTACCCCTATCCTCCCCGCCCTCCACCCTTCCTGATCCCAACCACCAGCTCGGGTGAGGATCCCTGACTGTCCAGGGCCTTGGGACGTCCTCCTGACGTGGAAGACGCTGCATAAATGTAATTTGTTGTTGTTGTTTCTCTCTTACACTCATGATCTCTCCAGCACCCTTCCGCTCGCTCTTGTGCTATCTCATGCCCTCTGTCTCTCTCTCGCACACATGCTCTTGCTCTCTTGCAATCTTTTATTTTCTCCCCACCCCCTCTCTCTCTCTCTCTCTCTCATCCACTCGCTTTCTCTCTTTCCCATATTTATTTCTTTGGAAAGACTTCTGTTTACATCTCTCACTCCATAGTACCCAAGACCAGGAATAGAATTGTTTTGATCCTATTTATTCCACGAATAACCACAATTAGGGGCCACAGGGCAGAGAAAAACGGTCAAAACTAGGAGGGTGTTTGTTTGGGTAAACAGAGAGAAACTATCCCATTATAATAATAATAATAATCCTTGCATTTTATATAGCACTTTTAACGTCTTCTAGACGTCCCAAAGCGCTTCACAGAATATACTGTAAAGTGAATTGACTGTATATTTGTGGGCGAACGCGGCAGCCAATTGCGCACAGCAATGTCCCACAAACAGTCGTAGATTGAAAATGACCAATTTATTATTGTTTTTGGTTTTGGAGGGATTATTATTAGGCTCTGTGTGGAGTAAGGAAACTTGCCCAAGGTTTCGCCCTCTGCCTGGAATTGAACTCAGGTCTCTCGCTTGCAAAGCGAGTGCTCTAACCGCTGAGCTACAGGGCTCCACAAATATGTCTCGATGCCCTTCACAGAATATAATGTAAAGTGAATTAACTGTATATTTTGTGAATCCAATTTCCGGCGTGGGGCTTGAACCCACAACCTTGCGGGCCAACAAAATAACAGAAATAACCCAGAATTATGCCATCAATCAAGAAATATTCAATCAAGAAACTTCTATTTTATTGGCCAAACTTTTTGGTTTGATTCACGGCATAAATCAATCTACCCTAAACTTTTCGGTTGGCCAACAAAATAATAAATGCTTTATATTAATCAAGAAATATTCAATTAAGAAACATTTGATTTGCTGACCAGACAAAGAGGTTGGCCAGCACTGTTCGTTAATCTCTTCCCCGCTTTGATTTCCTCATCAGGTTAAAGGGGAAACTCCATGAAACTAACCTGACTTATGAGGATTTCCCAACCTCCAAGTACATGGGTCCACTGCAGTACACAATCTGGAAATCCTTGTTCCAGGATATACAGCCAGGTGAGTCCTCAATAACCAACAACCCAGGAAGTGGGGGCTGGGCAGCCGACTGCCACACTGCCCTCAGTGCCAACGCACCTTATCTTAATGCACATGTGGAGGGTCTTCATATACAATGATAATAATAATAATTCTTGCATTTGATATTGTGACTTATTCTCGACGTCTCAAAACGCTTCACAGAATATACCGTAAAGCGAATTGACTATATTTTGTGGGTGAAACATGGCAGTCAATTGCGCACAGCAGCGTTCCACAAACAGTCAAGGATTGAGTGACCAAATGATTTTCGCAAAAAATTTTTTTGGGAAGAGATAACAACAACAACTGGATTTATATAGTGCCCTCCACGCCAGACGGCGTCTCAGAGCACTTTACAGTAACGGATCCCAGGACCGAGCCAGATTATTTCAATTTGGGAAAGCAATTTCCCAAATTGATTAAGCAACAAATGGGTGAAAATTGCAGTTTTTTTTAAAAAGCATTCCTTGTATTAATTAATATTCAGTATATACCAGTAGACGTCAAACCTGCTCCAGGCAAGTGAAATCACCCTCTTCTAGCTCATTTAGCTGCCATGTTTTTTTGAAAAATGTTAGTTTTGTTGCTGTGGCAAATCCTATTTTTTTTGTTCAATATTTGTTTTCTGAGCTTGTTCAGCGCAGAGGGTGAGGGGGGTCAAATTCCTTACTCCCAGAAATAATTTACAAGCAATTATTAGGCTTTGGATGGTATAAAGGCTCCATTGGCTCCCTATCACAGAACGGATCAATTTCAAGATCCTCACACTCATCTATAAATCACTTCACACCTTGGCATCTACCTGCTTCTCCGACCTGCTTATTCCCCAACCCACTACCTGCCGCCTCCGCTTGGCTGGCTCCGGTCTCCTGATTGCCCCTCATATATCTCCTCTCCACCATCAGTTACCGTACCCTAAACAATGGAACCCCTCCCTCAATCCCTCTGCCTTGCCTCCTCCTTACTCGTCTTCAGATCACACCTGAAGAGCTTCCTCTTTGACCAGTCCTACAGTTACTTCCTCTTTCTGCCTGGCTCGGCATCGAGCTCTGACATTGTTAAGCACTCAGACACGCTATCCTGGGTGAAGAGTATTATATAAATACAAGTTGTTCTTGTTGCTGTTGTTGATATCCCAATAAAATTGGTCACTCATTCAATGCTGTTTAGGAGGCATTGCTGTGGGCAAATTGGTTCCTGCGTTTACCCACAGAAACAGTCACATTATATCCTGTGAAGGGCTTTGGCACGTCCACCTGACATGAAAGGAGCTATACCAAATGTAACTCACATTATTTATTGAAGGCAGTCAAAGAGGGAGGAAATTACGATGGGTTTGAAGAGAAGCAGAGAAGATTCAGGTGAGGGGAGAGAGTTCCAGAGAGCGGGGACGCCCGCAGAAGGTGATGGTTTGGGCACTGGTGGTGGGACTGAGGAGTGGGGGGGAGTGAGGAAGATGCAGTAGACAATAGTCAGAAGAGGAGAAGGCAGGGGAATTGGATTGTAGAAGTCCCTATTCTCTTAAGAGTTGGAGCTGGGAAAGCCAGTGAGCAGAGTGTTAGAGAAACCTCATCTCAAGCTGTCGACAGCGTGGATATCAGATATCACTTCAATTCCCATCATTGTATATTTTGATACTAAACACCAGTTCAACAGCTGCCAAGGGACTGGGGTGCACAGTCGGAGAGACCCTCTCCTATCATCTCCAGGGCTGGAGTCAGTTTCAGCCCAGAGTAATGGCGTTCTCTGTTGGTTTTACCTCTCCCTCTGGCCTCGTTTCTTTTTGTGTGTGTCTAAACGATTGAAATTCACAGCAGCACTAAATCTCGTGAAATGGGTTTAATTTGGGAGATTTATTGCTGCAATGTACTGTATCTGCAATTTTTCTCATCCATGCCTCCCATCAATATTAAAGCTGCTTCTCCGGCTTTCCAGGCTATAATCCAGCCACAGGCAAAGCTCACAGCGCTCTGAAGAAAAAAACAACAGCAGCAACAAAATTACATATGTTTAGCGCCTTTCACGTCGGGAGGACATCCCAAGTTGTGGAGTCCTGTAGCTCAGTGGTTAGAGCACTCGCTTTGCAAGCGAGAGACCTGAGTTCAATTCCAGGCAGAGGGCAAAACCTTGGGCAAGTTTCCTTTCTCCACACAGAGCCTAATAATAATCCCTCCAAAACCCAAAACAATAATAAATTGGTAATTTTCAATCTACGACTGTTTGTGGGACATTGCTGTGCGCAATTGGCTGCCGCGTTCGCCCACAAATATACAGTCAATTCACTTTACAGTGTGTTCTGTGAAGCGCTTTGGGACGTCCACGCGACGTGAAAAGCGCTATATCAAATGCAAGGATTATTATTATTATTATTATGGCGCTGAAATGAGACAGAGCGAAACAGAGACAGATACAGACAGAGAGAGACATGATCTTCAATAATAATAAAAATATTAATAATCATTGCAATTGTTATAGGGCCTTATCATGTCATTCAGACATCTTAAAGCGTTTCACTGTAAAGTGGATTGACTGTATATTTTGTGGAAGAAGTGCGGTAGGCAATTGTGCACAGCAATGTCCCACATACAGTCGTGGATTCAATGACTAAATTATTTATTTGGGGGAGATTATAGCAATCCACCAATTGACCAACAACCGGCTTCCTACTTACTGCTAGGTAAACAGAGGCGTATGGAGTAAGAAAACTAAGGTTGTCTAAGGTTTCTCCCCACCCTGGGAACATACACCTTGAGAACAGGCAGACAAGACTTTTGTTGAAACCTTCGACAAAGCAGTGCACTTTGAGATGTCTAGAAAGTGTGAAAAGCACTATATCAAATGCAATGATTATTATTATTATTATGCTGTAATGGGAAGATGAAAGTGTGGAGGTTGGGAAGGATGAGATCAAAGGGTCAAAGGGTCTTAATGCAAATTTCTCTTGTGATCCGGTGGTTGTGTTGGAGCTCCCACCACCTGGTGTTAGATATATTGTCACAGGTTGGAGTTGTTTGCAGCACCACCTGGAGGTGAGATGTAGAATTGCATTGTCCAGCTGCACCTCAAGAGGCTCACAAGGAGATCCTGGTACTTGTTCTCCGTCCAGAAATAATAATAATAGTCCTTACATTTGATACAGCACCTCATCATGTCTTCGAGATGTCTCAAAGCGCTTCACAGGATACACTGTAAAGTGAATTGACTGTATGTTTTGTGGGCGAAACGTGGCAGCCAATTGCGCACAGCAGCGTCCCCACAAATAGTCGTGGATTGAAGTGACCAATTATTTTAGGGGGTGGGGGGGGCGGGAATCATTACCCCCAGAAAGCGATCCACCAAAATGGTGTATAGTGACTGTACTAAATACTCTTTGCAGCAAATTCTGTGAAGCGCTCTGATACGTTTGGAAGCAATTATTGCTCTCGGGAAGCAATTCACCAATCGACCAACCGGGTTGAAGTTCAACACGCTGATTATTATTATTGATGATAATGGTGTGAGTCCAAGCCGCTGATTGCTGTGTGTTCTCCCCTCAGTGCCGGCCTCCCTCACTCTGGACCCCATCACGGCTCACCAGCGCCTCATCCTGTCCGACGACTGCACCATCGTGGCTTACGGCAACCTGCACCCACAGCCTCTGCAGGACTCGCCCAGGCGCTTCGATGTGGAGGTATCGGTGCTGGGCTCTGTGGGCTTCGATGGGGGAGTTCATTACTGGGAGGTGATGGTGTCCGAGAAGACCCAGTGGATGATTGGGGTGGCCCAGGAGTCTGTCAGCAGGAAGGGGAGCATTCAGATCCAACCGTCCAGGGGATTCTTTTGCATAGTGATGCATGATGGGAACCAGTACAGTGCCTGTACCGAGCCCTGGACACGGCTCAATGTCAAGTCCAAGCTGGAGAAGGTGGGCGTGTACTATGACTACGAGAAGGGTCTCCTCATCTTCTACAACGCCGACGACATGTCCTGGCTTTACACCTTCCGGGAGAAATTCTCCGGGAGATTCTTCCCGTATTTCAGTCCCGGCCAGAGCCACGCCAACGGCAAGAACGTCCAGCCCCTGCGCATCAACACCGTCCGTATCTGAACGGCTGGTGTTCCCACTGCAAACTGTTCCCCATGTGGGAGAGAAGCTCAGCTCATCCATTTGATTTGTGTGTGTGCGCGCGCGTGTCCGCGTGTGTGTCCCCGCGTGCTTGTGTGCGCACGCGTCTGTGTGTTTGTGCGCGCGCGCGTGTGTGTGTGTGCGTCCTTTTTTTTCACTGGATTACAAACACGTACCCTTTCTCCGCGCGCGTGCATGTATGTGTGTGTGTGTGTGTGGTGGGGGGGCGCGGGGAGGATGGGTGGGCAGTGTTCCCTAACTCGCCTGACCTTTGCGCAGGTAGATCAGTTACTTCTCCACGACACCCGCTCGACGATATACAAGATTCGGGAATGCTGAAGCAGTGACGGACTTTTTTTTTTTTTAGCTAATTTTGGGGGAGGATTTGTTGGCCCTTTTTCCGGTAATTGGTAAAAGTGGAAATCACAGTTAATGCAACAAATCGGCAGATATTACAAGTTCACATTCCCACCGCGCCCCACCCCCTCTGAAAACCTTCCTCTTTCCAGGAGCTGATGGCTGGAGAGGTAACCGTCTCTGTCAGCATGTGTCAGCTATGGACCAGCAGATTAGGGGATTATCCCCCTCTCGCCCCCCCCCCCCCCCCCTCCCGTTTGAGCTAACAGTTCTGGGTTTGTGGGTGACTGGGGGAGTGGGTTTGTCGGCTTCATACTTCAGGTGAAACATTAAACCGGGGTCCAGTCACCAACGTTTAATAGTTGACGGGACTGGAAGAGCGAAGGGAGTTCATTCCAGTGCCCTGGTAAACTGTGGCCCAGATTAATTGTTCACTCTCTTCACGTGGTTGTTTGCGGGTCCTCGTTGTGTGCAACATTCCTTGGCACTTTATAGAACTTTGCTGATTCAGAATCGATTTGCGTTTCTTTCATATTTGCCAGTTGTTGGTGTCAGGAAACTTCACAGAAACTCTGAGCAAAGAGAGACATCCCTCTTGGGTTACAGATGGGTGGGACTTTACCCGATCTGCCTCTGCTTGGCACACCAAGCACCGTTTGTGGTTTATTTTGCCCTCTGTGATTTCTGCCTGTGCTTTGGGCGGACATTAAAAGATCCCGCCACTGGAAAAAAGAGATGGGGAGTTTCTCCTAGTGTCCCATCCCGGCCAACAATCAGTCCCCCAGATTAATTGGCCGTTTCACTTTATGGCTGTGTGTGTGTGTGTGCGGGATGTTGCCTTGTGCATATCAGCTGCTGCGTTTGCCAGCAAATAAATACACAGTGGCTGCACTTGACAGCGAATACCAGTGAAACATGCGAGGATGGATCGATGTTAAAGCTGCTTTATCGAATTCAATTCTTGTTCTTTTTCGCATGTGTTGGGGCTTCTGGAGAACAAAATTGATGGGGAAACTGACTCAAAGAGATGTGACTGGGTGGTCACATAGTCTAGGGTTTGTTTTTTGCTGCTGTTTTCACTTTCTTTTCCTTTATATGTGTGTGTTTGTGCGCGTGTTTTTTGCTGGTTCGAGCCTTTGAGGGTCTGCACCGGGCACTTGCACTGCCAGTCCACCCCCTAGTGGGTGCAGCAAGCAAATCGACCCTAACCTTGTTGGGGGAGGGATGGCGGGCGGGCCGGAGGGCGGTGGGTGGGGGCTAGGGGGGATTAAAATCACACCTAGTCTTAAACCTGTTGCTGATCCACTTTTGTCAGATTTAAGGCCACGCAGCAATCTTCAATCCAAAAAGCAAACAAATTCCAAATCACTGGATTGAAGAATTTTTCCCATTTCTGCACCATCTTGAATTCCAAGACAAATGATGGAATTTCTGGCCTGTGTGTATTTTTTTGTTACCGAGGATTTGGAGCCTTGTCTTGGGATAAGCCCACTCCACTCCTCTCCCCTTCAGCTCCCTTCTGACAGGGACAGTTTCAGCCCGGTTGTGGGACGAGTGATTGTGGGGACGTCAAACTAAACAGGCAATCTTGCTGGGAGAGGCCCCGGGGAGGGGGGGAGGAACATGTTAATCTATCACTATCTCCTGAAATTGGGTCTGAGGCTCATTGCTGAGAGTCTGGTGAGAACTAGCTGTATCCTAGACCTCCCCTGTCTCCCATCATCACAGTGCTCTGTGCTAACACTGGGCACCAGCCATGCAGAATAGCTGCTGTTTCCTGGCACTAACATCCCTTTTGATCAGAAGTCAGTAACAAACAAAATCAAACCTGAATCCACTCAGTGGTTCACTTTGGTTGCTGCTGTTGTCTTTAAAATGCATGCTGTAAAATCGTCAATTGTTCTTCCAAAGTTTTGTAAAATAATGGCTTGATGTGCGTACAGCAGCCTGGGGCTACTGAGTGACCACTTCACACATATTTAATGTTTCTTACTCCAGCCAGGCTTTGGGGAGTATTTATTTTAGAGAGGGCGGGATTATTATAATTATTACTGTTGTTATTTTGACTTGCTACTAGCTGGGGGAAATGGAGCCAAAGTCAAGCTGGGGTTGGTGTCTTTGCTCGGTATCTCGTGGAGTCCTGTAGCGCAGTGGTTAGAGCACTCGCTTTGCAAGTGAGAGACCTGAGTTCAATTCCAGGCAGAGGGTGAAACCTTGGGCAAGTTTCCTTACTCCACACAGAGCCTAATAATAATCCCTCCAACACCAAAACAATCATAAATTCGTCATTTTCTATCCACGACTGTTTGTGGGACATTGCTGTGCGCAATTGGCTGCCGCGTTCGCCCACAAATATACAGTCAATTCACTTTACAGTGTGTTCTGTGAAGCGTTTTGGGATGTCCTCCCGACGTGAAAAGCTCTATATCAAATGCAAGGATTATTATTATTATTATCATGGCTGGAAATTCACTTAATTGCACCAAAGATAACCCTGACAAATCTGACCTGCTGTATGTAGTTGTTCTCCCAAGACAGTTCTGCCTGCTCAGATAGATGCTAAAGACCCCATATCACTATGTGAAAACACAGTGTCCTTGCTGACAGTCCTTCAGATTGATCGCTCCTTCACCAGTGATGGGTGTGGGACCTTCTTGTGCAGTTTGTCTACAAAAAAACAGTCACTACACTTGACACTATTTTACTATGAAGCACTTTCCGAGACATTCTGAGGTGGAAGACGAGTTTAAAATGTAAGTTCTTTCTTTCTGATTAGAGGAACATTATGTGCTGACCTTGGTGTTGCTGTGTAAATAGGGTAACTGAGGCCAAGCAGACTCCTTGCTAAGTATGGAAGAGTCCAAAGGCTATTCATTCTCATTAATCTTCAAAGGACTGCAAAATTATCTGGGACTTGGTGCAGTATACAGTGAATATCCGTTCTGGTTTAAGTCACAGTACTGAGCAAAAAAAGGTTTTTGTTCCTTTTAATTAACCACTTCTCTGTTGTGAAGTGAGCACCTCCATGTTACTTTTGCGTCCTTCGTTAAGGTTTCATTTGTCTTTGTCACCGGATCAAGAGTTTCTTTGAACAAAACTCTTAATTTTACCAAGTTTTCAGGAACACCATTCGTACACCCCCCTCTCGCTCGAGCCTTGAACATGAATTGTTCCCGTAGGACTGGACGCATTCCCCTTTCACTACAGATCGGCTTTGCTGTGACCCATGAGGCTGGGCAGGTGCATGCTGGGCTGCTAGCGGTGTTGGTTTTGGTCTGAAATCTCCAGAATGTAACCCTCTGGTTTGTTTCCTCTTCAATTTACGTCTTTAATAAAATGATAGGATGCTGCTGAGTTTGGTGTTTGTTGTTGTTTGAATGGGTGAAGAGAGCTTGAGTGCTCTGAGATGCTACTCTGCATGAAGGGTGCAAGTTGTTGTTTGACAGTAGGTTTTCAGTAGGTTTTAGTCCATCAGTAGGTTTCAATCCATCGATTTCATCTGGCTCTTGATGTATGGGAAGACCCTTCAAACAGATCCTTTGATCCTAGTTTCTCACCTTTCCTTCATCTTCCTTATTTCCCAATGTATCTGTCCATCTCCCTTTTAAACATCCCAATTCATGGAGTTTGGAATAGAATCCTAAGAATTTGCGATGAGGAAAGACCGTGTTTTGATCTTTGAGGCAAACAGGTCACCAGAGGTCAGAAAAAGAAGGTCCTTTTGATCTCCAAAATACCCTTCCCACCACCTTCTCATGACACCATTGAACTGTTTCTTAAGAGTCCAGTAAACTGAAATCCCTGTTTGATTTAATTTTCCAAATGGAAATTGGAATATTTTCTCAATTCAAAAGATAAAGGAAAACCTCCAGGGCACTGAAGGAAATGCGAGACTATAGCGCAAAATGACAACAACAACAACAACAAGATTCCATTTATAAAGCGCCTTTCACGTCAGGAGGACGTCCCAAGGCGCTGCACAGTTGGGTCATGACCCGAGCAGGGGGGAAATGGTCAGGGTGAGGGGAGGGAAGGGAGGGAGCGAGGAGGGGGGAAATGGTCAGGGTGAGGGGAGGGAAGGGAGGGAGCAAGGAGGGGGGAAATGGTCAGGGTGAGGGGAGGGAAGGGAGGGAGCGAGGAGGGGGAAGAGAGTCGAGAGGGGAGCTGAAGGCTGACATGATACAAACTATGTTCTCTTCCTCCCAATTTGTCCTAATTTATATTGCCCTCATCCAAATTTCATCCCCAAATTCAAATCAATTGGTCGCTCATACAATACAATATTACATTTGTAAAACGACTTTCAAGTCGGGAGGACGTCCCAAGACACAGAACAGTCAGGGATTAGGACCAGAGCTGGGGGAGGGTTGGGAGCAGGGAGGGTGGAGGGCAGAGAGGGTAGGAGGGTGGCCGAAGGCACGGTCGAAGAGGAGGGTCTTGAGGCATGCCTTGAAGGAGGAGTTGGGACTGTGAGATGGAGTTCCAGAGGGTGGGGGCAGAAAGGCTGAAGGCCCGACCACCGATGGTGGGACGGGTGGGGGACATGGAGCATGCTAGAGCCTGCTGAGGAGGGAGCAGACAGGTTGATAGGGGATCAGCAGGTCAGAGATGTAGCATAGTCCATGGCCTTGAAAGTGAGGATGAGGATTTTGATTTCTATCCTCTGAGGGATGGGAAGCCAGTGGAGCCGGATGAGGGGTGATCGGGTCATGGAGCCTGGTGTGAGAGAGAGGCCATGAGCTCTGGATGATTTGTCGCTTGTGGAGGGAAGAGTTGGGAAGGCCGACAAGCAGAGCATTGGCATAGTTGAGCCTCTGTGAAATGAAAGCATCTATGAGGGTTGTGGTGGCCAGAGGGGTGAGGCAGTGACGGAGTCGAGCAATGTTGCGGAGGTGGGGGAAGGCAAAGCAGGTCATAGCACAGATGTGGGGGCAGAAAGGACAGTTAAGTGGCGAATAAGATGCCTAGGCTCCTGATTGACTTGAAATGGAGTGTGCATCCTTGGATGGTGATGCTGAGGTGCGAAGGCACTGGTGCAAGCCAATCGGGAGCCTCGGTCTTGCCGATGTTCAACTGTAGAAGGACTTGATGTCTGGATCACATTGATGCTCATCTCATTGATGTGCTAACAAGGTTGCCCCTGATGAACTGCCCATTTACCTCCATAATAATCACATCCTTTCGAACTAATTAGTTTGCAATTTGCTTTGAGACATTTAATTTTAAAGGTGCTTTATATATACATGTTTATATATGCAAGTTATTATTAATTCACAAACAAGGGGGACACAGCAAGAGAGTTTAAAATGCCAATACTAGCAAAAGGTAGCAAGCTGGAGTTCATAACTATTGCCCTTCCTGTTTGTTGAAAGCAGATCAACCCATCTGCTCACTGTTGCTGCAAGCTATTAAAATGTACTAATAGGGCTGGAGAGGAGCAGTTGATTTCACATGATTAAATGTTAAGGGTATATAATGCTTTTGGCCTTTGCAGAGAAGCTCCCAAGTCAATGTCTAAATTTGCTTGCACAAATTGCAATGCCTTTCAGCATTATTTATTTATAAAGTAGCATTAAAATTATTTTATATGTTAACGGCACCACCTGATCAGCCTGTGGATAAAAACAGCCATTGGGACGGACGGACCTCACCATGGATATGAAGAGTATTAGGTCATTACATGAAATACAAATGTAGAGCATTAACCAAAACCTTCCAAGTGTTAGTATCAATGACAGTGTCAGTCTTTCTCTTTCACAGGCTCCCCCACAGTCAATCCCTTTGTCAATGTCGATCTATTGCTCTGCTTTTGTGTGTAACTCTCTCTAATCTTGTACTCGTCTGTAAACCCATCCACATTTCATGTGGCCATTTGAAAGTTGGGCAAAATCCTATACCTGATAACTTTGCCTATTGGCACGCAACTAAAACTTCACGAACAATGCAGCCTGTCTTCAGTTGCGCATCGGAGCTCCAATGCAGCTAAACAGATTTCTACTGCAGTTGTGAAAGGGAAAAGAGAGGGAAGATAAACAAAAAGTCTATATAAGTCCAAAAGCATGCAAATTGTAAAAAGCTGTTTCGAAGCAGCAGAAAATAACACAAAGCTAATGAGTTGTCCATCGCCTTGGGACGTCCTTCTGACGTGAAAGGAGCTGTACACATGGTGCTGGTGTTGTTGATGGTGTGTATAAGAGGTCTATCACAATGCTGCTCCAATTATACAATATGCTGGTCAGACTTCATTTTGAGTATTGTGTTGTTTGGGAGCCCAATATTTGGGAGGATTTGAGCAACAATTCACTACATTAATAGTGAAAGAGGTTGGCTGAAGTTTAAGGCTGGGTAAACATGGGTATATTTCCCAGAGTGGGGGAGGTTAAGGGGTGATTTGATGGCAGCATTTAAAGAAATTAAGGGAACTGACAGTGTAGAGGATAATTCAAAAGAGGATGAATCCTTAAAATGCTAGCCAGGCCATTTAGAAGTGAGATGAAATTTGGTAGCGATGGATAGTATGGGTGAAAGAGCATCTGCCAAGATCTAATAAACTGGTGGCATAGGCTGGATGGACTGAACGCTCTCCTGTTCCTGTTTTTCCCATTTCTTTCTTCTGCACTGTGACGATCGGTGATCACCTGCTGGGAGAAGGAGCCAATAACCGCAAGAAAATTCTGAGCCAACTTTTATTGAGTACAGAGCAGAGACCCACAGAGCTCAATGGCAGCCACTCACTCCTCCAGTCCCGCGTAAGAGGAACAGCAGTCAGGGCACTGCACAAGTCAATTCCACTGCAGCCAATTCCAAACACACGTACAGACACAACACCCACCTCATTCCACTCCAATCGCTAAACTCAGCATCATTTGCTGTGAGCATTTAAATAAGCAATACGATTTGATTTCAGATTTGAGGTACTACATCTGAGCAGCGGAAGCAGAGGTGTTTCCTTTGGAAGCAATCAAGGCTCCTCCAGGAGGCTTTTGTTTCAATTCACAGAATACAGAATTATTAATACTTTTACTACGGCAAAACCACAACCACACAAATTCTGTCTCCTGCAAACACAAAAGGGAAAACTGTTGCATCGTACAGAATGTTGGCAGGAGAGAGGATGGAGGCAATTGTTGGGGGTAGCAGTCTGGTTTTTTTTACACACAAGCAACCCCAGACACAAGCATTGAATCGAAATGGAAAAGAAATGGAAAGAAATTTGATTTCTCACTATCTTATATCTTATATAAAAAAAATTGGTCATTTTCAATCCATGATTGTTTGTGGGACACTGCTGTGCTCAATTGGCTGCCGTGCTCGCCCACAAATATAGTCAATTCACTTTACAGTATATTCTGTGAAGCGCTTTGGGTCGTCTAGAAGACGTGAAAAGCGCTAAATCAAATGCAAGGATTATTATTATATTATATTATTATTATATTATAGTAAATGTCAGTGAGACTAACAATTCAGGGCTGAATTAAGGACAGACTTTTGCCCCAGCAAACAAACAAGTCTGACACTAACTGGCCCTAACTCAATCCACATTGCCCTGCTAAGCTGCTAGCTAACAGGCCAGGATAGCCCAGCAGTGTAGGGTGGATATGAATCCAAGTCTCATGAGCTAAACCAAATGACAAATCCTCTCAGCCAAATATTGTTGAATACCATAACAATTACATTCCTGCCCCCAACACAAGGTGAAACAAGCGACGTGCTAATTATGACAATGACTATGTTGTTGATAATTAAGGACTGTGGTTATGACCCACTACCACCCACACTCCCACCCTCCTGGAACAATGGCCGGGTACAAAGATGTTAGTGACATTGTCGGCATTGACACCCGTTTGGAATCTCGCCGGTCAATAATCACAATTTTAGTCAAAGTGATAATCAGCACTGGTGATAAATCCCATCATCACCTCAATTTTGCGCCTTTTTGCGCCTCACCTTCACACCTAGATTAACAGTAAACATTTGCCTGAAAGGAAATAAAATAATTGAGTTTTTTTTAAAAAAACTATCCCAGATCCAGTCTGCATTTGATTACACAAAACCACATTTCTTTTTTGTTCAAATGAATCATTCTCCCTCTATGTCGTCAGGGTTGGTTTATTGTTGTGGGAGAGAGACGCTGTGGGATGGGTGGGTCAGGCACACTTGTGTGGCTGACAGCTCCCCTCCATCCCCACTTACTCTCGCTCTCAGTCTCCCTCCGACTGCATCTGCTTGCAGAAGGCTTCAAACTGCTGTTGCTCCAGCTCTGTCATCACTTTATTTAAAGCGTAAATCTGGTTGGGGGAGCGAGAAAGATGGGAAGAGAGAAAACACAATTAACCCGCCGATAAATAATCAGAGAGAGCAAGGACCTTGTGATGTAAACAGTGCCTGCCTTCTCCTGACTAGCGATTTGTAGCAGGGCGTCAGCTTGGCTCAGGCCGCAGCAACAACAACGATTTATACAGCGCCCACCACGCCAGGCGGCGTACAAGAGCGCTGCTAAGCCGAAGCCCAATGCTGAGCCAGGGGGAGGGCGAAGGTGACCGTAGCACCTCCACCTTTGCTGGGTTCAAGCACTGTGTGAAAAGAAGAGTATCTCATTGTGTCATGGGCTCCCAGAACAATGTGTAAATTGGTCACTGGTCAGACAGCCGTGAAAGCTGCCGTGTTTGTCCATAAATATACAGTCACTATACTTGACAGTATTAATCTGCAAAGAAGCACTTGAAGCGCTTCACAGAATATACTATAAAGTGGAGTAACTGTATATTTCTTGGGAGAAACGCGGCAGCCAATTGCACACACCAGTGTCCAACAAACAGTCCCACAAACAATTATTTTTATTTATTTTGAAGGAATTATTACCCCCGGAAAAGTGATCCACCAATTGACTAACAATTGGGTTCCTACTTACTGCTTGGCAAACAGAGGCATGTGGAGTAAGGAAACTTTCCCAACATTTTGCCCTGCCGGGAATTGAACCTAGGTCCTCTCGCTTGAGAGGCAAGTGTTCTACCACGTGGCAAATTATAGCCAGTGAGCAAATCCAGCGGGAAAGCTCGTCAGTCAGTGCTATCAATGGCAAGCTATCCAGGGTCTCCAAGCCTTGGCTTTTGCTAACTGGTGCCCAAACTTTCCAGAATTAGGTAAGCAGGATGTGTCCTTCTGGAATTTCCATGTAGAAGTGGGGATACATGGAATTCCCAGTTGGTTTGTATTTGTTTTAAGCACGGTGATGGGTTTCACATGTCAGACACATGGTTGACCAAAAAAGGGACCTAAATGGATTGCTCTTTCAAAGAAAAGCACAGACATGATTGGCCGAATGTCCTCCTTCTGTGTTATGAGTGGCCCCATGCTATACTGAAGAACATTACAGCAGACTCTGATCGTAATCCAGAGGACTACGATTTTCCAATAATAATGTGGAGTTTTTAACGTCCTAAACAGACACAGACCCCTGCCTCCTCGTAAAATGGCTAAGGTCATTCATTGTTCCGATACCTCAGCTCTCTGTCTCTGTTTCAGCTCCTGCAATGCTGATTTCTGCTTCGTTTTGTCCCCTCGCTGGGCCGGGTCCTTCGGCTTCATCTTGTCCCTACGATAGGCAGGTTCCATTCCTGCAGGAAGGGACAGTTTAAGGTACTAGTCACAGGAAAAGCAGGGCTGTTGGAAAACTATCAGTAACGCTTTCCAGGATTTTACAGTATAATAATAATAATCCTTGCATTTTAGCGACAACAACAAGAACAACTTGGATTTATATAGCGCCCTCCACGCCGGACGGCGTCTCAGAGCGCTTTACAGTAACGGATCCCGGGGCCGAGCCAGGGAGAGGGGGGAGAAGGTGACCAAAGGCGCGGTCGGAAAGGTTTTCAGCAGAGTCCTGAAAATGGGAAGGGAGGGAGAGAGACGAAGGGAATGAGGAAGGCAGTTCCAGAGCCTCGAGGCATAGTGGCTCGGCCGCCAAGGGTGGACGAGGAGGCCAGACCCGGAGGAACGAAGGCAACTGGTACTGTTTTGAGGAGAGAAGAGGTCAGAGAGGTCGGGGGATGCAGAGGAGTGGAGGGACTTGAATACAAGGGTGAGGATCTTGAAATCGATCCTCAGGATAGGCAGCCAGTGCAGTCTGGCCAGGACTGGGGTGTGGGTGAGAATGCGGGCGGCAGAGTTCTGAATGAGTTGGATTTTATGGATGATAGTGGAGGGGAGACCGGTGAGGAGGGCGTTTAAGAGGCGACAAAGGCATGGACCAGGGTTTCAGCGACTTTCGGGGAGAGGTATTGGCGGAGATGGGCGATGCGTCGGAGGTGGAAGAAAGCAGTGCTGGTGAGGGACCGGATGTGGGGAGGAAGGATAATTGGGTGTCGAACCTGACGCCTGGGTTGCGTACGGGTTCAGAGAGTTTTAGGGGAAGGTCGGGTAGGTGGAGGGGGTGAGAATCGTGTGAGATTTTGGACGTTGACGAGAGCCAAAGAGTATGGCTTCCGTCTTGTCAAAGTTCAGCTGAAGGAAATTTGAGTCATCCAGCCCCTGACATCTGACAGGCAGCTGACAGAACAAAGAGCAAAGAGAGGTGGAAAAATAGAGTTGGGTGTCATCTGCATTCATGTAGAAATGTACCCCAAGAGGGAGCACGTAGATCAGAAAGCGGAGGGGGCGCAGGATGGATCCTTGTGGGATCCCACAGGTGGCCGGGTGAGAGCGAGAGAAGCCGTTTGTGCAGATGTACCGCTGGCGGTTTGTGAGGTAGGACTCGAACCGGGCGAGTGCGGTCCCACTGAGGTGGATGATGGAGGAAAGGCGGTGGAGGAGGATGGCGTGATCGACTGTGTCGAACGCCGCGGAGAGGTCCAGGAGGACAAGGAGGCACAGCGACAGCGCATTATTGTGGGCAAAACAATAGCAGCCAATATGGGCAGAGCAGCGTCCCCACAAACAGTCATGGGGCGAGTGAACGATTTTTTGTGTGGAGGTGGGTGGTTGGGGTCATCAGGCAGGTGGACACTGGGACAGGAATAGAAACGCCCTTCTCTTTTTGCCTCATACTCTCCGGAATCAGGTAAAGCCGGACGCGCCCCTCCAGGGAGAGAGAGAGAGAGAGTATTCCATTCCAACAATCTATCTCTGGGATTTCCGTGAGTAGGTGGGAGGCCGGGAATTCTCAGCTCGGTTTGGATGCTCTTAAGCAACGGTGACGGGGGTAGTGCGGCCGCTCCCCCCCCACCAAAAATACAACCTCACTCTCCCCACCCCACAACAGTCTGTGCCCTGTTCAGGTGGACGTTAACTATCTCATGCAGTGGGTCGAGAGGGAGGGGGGGGGGGGGGGGGCGCCGGATATCGTTAACTTGCACCTGAACAGGACACGGACAGGTGTGTGTGTGTGTGGGGGGGGGGGGGGGGGGCGCTATCTGCTGGAAATCATGTATTTAATACAAAAACACAATAAAAAAAAGGAGGCAATGGTTTAATTCTTCTACCTCTCCCCCCCTCTGCCCCCTCCCCCCACTCTGCCGCCTTCTCCCCTCCCTGACACCGCCCCCTCTGACCCCTCCCCACCTCTACCCCGGGGGCTCCGACCCCACCCTGCCGCGGGGGGGGGGGGGGAGGGGGGGGCGGACTATCAGCTGATATATGGCCCCCCCACGCCCCGCGGCCCCTCTCAGGGCTGTGAGCTGACAGTGAGGCCTGAGCCCCGGGGGAGGGGGGGGGACACCTCAGCTGAGAGGCGGCTGATTGTGGCACTGCCCCCCCCCCCCCTCACTGACCTCCTGCTGTATTTGCTGAGACTGTAGAGCGACCCCTTTTCACTGCAACCCCCTCCCACCTTCCTATTTCCGGTCCGTCCCCTAAAACTGTCCGCCGGGGAGGGGGGCTGCGGGGGTTACTATGGCAACAGGTCGGAAATCGCCGTTGTGATGGACCAGGGGTTACCATGGAGAGGGGCGGGGGAGGGGTTACCATGGTGATAGGGCCCAGTGAGTGATGGTGGGTTGTGGCGATGGCCTGATGGCGATTTAATGATCATCATAGTTTGGGCTGCAACCCCCCCCACCCCCCCCCACCCCCCCCACCCCCCACCCCCACCACCCCCACCTCCCCCCCACCCCCACACCCCCACCCCCCCACCCCCACCCCCCCACCCCCACCCCCCCCACCCCCCCCCCCCACCCCCCCCCCCCCCCCCACCCCCACCACCCCACCCCCCACCCCCCACCCCCCACCCCCCCACCCCCCACCCCCCCACCCCCCACCCCCCACCCCCCACACCCCACCGACCCCACCCCCCCCCCCCCACCCCCACCCCCCACCCCACCCCCCACCCCCCCCCCACCCCCCCCACCCCCCACCCCCCCCCACCCCCCACCCCCCACCCCCCCACCCCCCCACCCCCCCCCACCCCCCACCCCCCACCCCCACCCCCCCACCCCACCCCCCCACCCCCACCCCCACCCCCCCCACACCCCCACCCCCCACCCCCACCACCCCCACACCCCCCACCCCCACACCCCCCACCCCCCACACCCCCCACCCCCCACCCCCCCACCCCCACCCCCCCACCCCCCACCCCCCCCACCCCCCACCCCCCCACCCCCCCCCACCCCCACCCCCCCACCCCCCACCTACCCCCCACACCCCACACCCCCCACCCCCCACCCCCACCCCCCACCCCCACCCCCACCCCCCCACACCCCCCACCCCACACGCCCCTGAGCACAGGGAGGGAGCAAGTTGGAAAGATTTAAGCAGGTCGCAGAGTAATGGAGAGGCAAGACCGGGGAGCGTTAGAAGTGAGGACCAGGATCTTAAGCTCAATGATAGATGGAGAACTGGGGCAAGGTTGGTGGGTGGGGGGTGATAGGTTAACGGAGCCTGATACAGGGGAGGACATTATTCAGAGTTCTTACGGAGGGAAGATTTGCGACGTCTAACAAACAGAGAGTTGGCATAGTCTGTACATGATGAATGTTAGCCTCGGGGACAGGTAGTGGCAGAGGTGGGCAATGTTATGGAGGTGTACGGAAGCTGTATGGCTCAAACCATGGATTATGTTCTGCTTTAATGTCCATGATTCACAAAGTGCGAGTTGGAATTCTCTTGCAGAACTGCATCTAGAGAATTATAATAATAATAATCCTTGCATTTAATAATGCTTTTCACGTCTTCTAGACGTCGCAAAGCGCTTTACAGAATATACTGTAAAGTGAATTGACCGTATATTTGTGGGCAAAACGCGGCAGCCAATTGCGCACAGCAATGTCCCACAAACAGTCGTGGATTGAAAATGACCAATTTATTATTGTTTTGGTTTTGGAGGGATTATTATTAGGCTCTGTGTGGAGTAAGGAAACTTGCCCAAGGTTTCGCCCTCTACCTGGAATTGAACTCAGGTCTCTCGCTTGCAAAGCGAGTGCTCTAAACCACTGAGCTACAGGACTCCACGATTATTAGATAAATTATTAGATAAATCCATGGTAAATTTACTTCAGACCTACTTATATGGAGGAAAGAATGAGAGGGGAAAACAACACTTAAGATTCTAGTATTCTGATGATTTTCCAGATGGCTCCTTTTTAGGGGTTGGAGGGGATGCAGTACTTCTCTGCTGCCACCATGCGTCAGTGCTGTACTACAATCAACGATGTAGCTTTACAGAAAGATCTAATCATATTCATAGAATATACCGTAAAGTGAATTGACTACATTTTGTGGGCGAAATGCGGCAGTCAAATGTGCACAGCAGTGTCCCACAAACAGTCGTGGATTGAATGACCAAATTATTGATTTTTTTTGAAGAGATCCGCCAATCGACTGACAACCGGGTTCCTACGTATTGCTAGGTAAACAGGCATGTGGAGTAAGGAAGCCCAACATTTCACCCTCCCAGGAATTAAACCTAGTTCCTTTTCTGACTCAGAGGTGAGAGTGCTACCAACTGAACCAGATTGACACCGGGCTGACATTCATCATGTTAAACACCTCTACAAGGTTAAGACCATAAAGAACTTTGGCCTCAGACTGCACAGATGGAAGCGAAGGCCATCAGGCCAAATTAACTTGTGTTTTTCTTTCATTCTCAACTCCACTTATTTTCTCACCATGTCCCTCAATCCCCTCTGTCTCTAGAGATACATTCATTTGCCTCTTAAAACACATTTATTGCCTGCTTCAATGGGCTCCGCGGGTTTAAAGTATTCCGTAAACCTATTACCCTTTGTGTTTTATAAAAAAAAATGTTTCGCCTGACTTCCTTTCCTACTTCCTAATTTTTTGACTTATTTTGTCCTGGGAATTGAACCCTTCACCCCTAGTAAACCATTTTCCTTAGATAGTTCTTCTCGCTCAACCAACTTTGCAGCGTATACAGAGAGCATCAGGTCCCAGAGTTCATTTGCTGTATACTGCGCATTTCATGCGTTGCCTGTCAATTTGATGTCCGTTTGAATGGAGACTGTAGCAGAATACCTAACTAGCGGACGGACCCTGACATGCTTTATTATTTCGGACTATCGCTTGTCAACGGGCACTTGCAGTAAATAGCTGCTGAAAGATATTAATTATACAAATTGTAAAATTGCTGAAATTGTTTCAGGCACCTGGAAATCCATAACATTCGGCACTGACTGTCACAACACTGACAAATCATACCAACTCTTCCATACTTAAAGACGCAGAAGAATGCAAGCAAGATCGAGGACTTGTGGGGGTGGGGGGATAAAGTCCTTTTGTTTCTCTGAGATCCGAGGTCCAAAATTCCATCTGGTCTCAGCCCGTGACACCCATTCCCCTTAGCATTTAATATGGCACAGAACTGAGGAAAAATCGTAAAACCCGGCCTTAATTTGGAAGCCTTTTTTCTGTAGGTTTTCCAAAGATTCTGGCTTCGAAATTAGAAGTGAAGTAAAGGATTTTCTTCAGTTCCGTCCCATTTTAAGGTTTAAGACAATATGGTTGCACAGGCTGAGACTAGGTGGAATTTCATCTTGTTCCCCCCTCCCCCAATGCCCCATAGTAGTTCAGAGACCCACAATCTGAACTATTATGTGGGGGGATTAAATACAGAACACAGGTCAAGCAAATTATCTTGGGAGTTTTTCCCTCACTCCCCATCCCCATCCTCATTTCAATTAGCTCAATTACTTTGGTGTTGCCATCTCTTTCTACCTGACAATAGAGTTAACTTTATATATGGTCAGGCTGTTTATTAGACTGTGTGGCTGAACATGTGGGTCATATCCTACATGCCTCAGGTCAGGTCCCAGGACAGCCTTACACTCACACCTGCTTAGGCTCAGCATTCCTCATATATTTATATATTTATGTATTCCTCAGAGCATTTATAATAATCCCTGCAATTGATGCAGCTCCTAATCAAGTCGTTGAGAAGTTTCAAAGCGCTTCACAGGAAATACTGTGAAGTGCAGTGACTGTGTATTTGGTTTATCCAGAAAACACCTGAGTCTCGCAGCTCAGGAAAGGGCCAGGTTATGTGCTGACTCAGCTGATCTCAACCAGGGCTGAAACAGAGGTAAATTATCCCACCTGCCCATAGTCCTGTCCTGCAATCAGCTCCTGCTCTGTTCTCCTGCTTTCCATTCTTCCAACTGTGATCTGCTGCTCCTCCCTCACTCATCCTTCACTCCCTCCATCCCATCATCATTGGCCGAGCCTTCAGCCACTATACTCCTGCTTCTTTAAATTCTCTCCCCACAAGTCCCTTTGTTTCCTGCTTTCAAACAACAACAACAAAATTACATTTGTATAGCGCCTTACATGTCAGAAGGATGTCCTAAGGTGCTGGACAATCAGTGTTTCAGCCTCGAGCTGGGGAGGGTGTAGAGCATGGTGGGAAGGAGGGTGACTGAAGGCACAGTTGAAGAGGAGGATCTTGAGACGGGTCTCGAAGGAGGCAAGGGAGGGGCTGAGGCGGAGGGACTGTGGGAGGGACTCCAGTTCTAGAGGGTGGTGGCAAAGTGGCAGAAGGCCTGCCCACCAATGGTGGGACGGGCCAGGCAGGGGACGTAAAGCTGAGCGGAAGGAGCAGGCATGTTTTTAGGGAGGTAGAAGGTTGCAGAGGTGAAAGGTGCTATACCAAATGTCACAGAGGTAGGTGGGAACAAGGGCATGGAGGGCTTTGAAGGTTAGGACCTCCTTAAAAACATATCTTTGACTGCTTTAGGTTAACACTCAAATTTCCCCTCCTTCCTTCCCTTCATTTATGAAGTATTTCAGACTTGACACTCACTCGCTCATACACAGAGAATTGGTACTTGGGTGAGGTAGCAGAGGGTTGGTGGCATCTGTGCCATTGTACCCCAAAAACATTTAGCAGTAATTCATAGATTCATAGATTTATAGAATGTTACGGCACAGAAGGAGGCCATTCGGCCCATCGAGTCTGTGCGGCTCTTTGACAGAGCGTCACTTTCACTAACCCCAATCACCAGCTTTCTCCCCATAACCCCACAAACCCGTCCTCCCCAGATACCTATCCAGTTCTATCTTAAAAGCTGTTATCAAATCGGACTTCACTGCCCTTTCAGGCGGATCATTCCAAATTCCAACAACTCGCTGAGTGAAAAAAAAAATTCTAACCTCTCCTCTGCTTCTTTTGGTAGATATCTTAAGACTGTAACCACGGGTCACAGACACACCTACCAGCGGAAACAGCTTTCCCTATCTCGCCTGTCGAAACCTTTCATGATCTTGAAGACCTCTATCAGGTTCCCGCGTAACCTTCTCTGCTCTAATGGGAAAAGTCCTAACTTCTCCACTGTCCTCATAGCTAAGGTTCCCCATTCCTGGTATCATTCTCGTGAATCTCCTCTGCACCCTTTCCAGTGCCTTAATGTCC